GCAGTTGTGCTGCTTTATATTTTTGTGGAAACCGTGATACATTTTTTTCAGGATTGTTTGATGAATAGAAAATTTGGCAGCATTTTTTATTAATTTTAAAAAATATTTTGTAACATTATAAATGTCTTTACTGTCAATTTTGATCAATCAAATGAATTCTTGCTTAGTGAAAGTGTTAATTTCTTTCAAAAAAAATTCAGAAATCTAAATTTTCATATCTGTGAGCCATTCCCATGTTGAAATAAGTAAGGGATAATGTACATCCAGCCGGTTGTTATCTCAGAATAAACCCCGACAGGGTGATCAGGTCTTGTATCAGCCTTGAAGGGGTTTATTCTGAGATAACAACTGGCTGGATGTACATTATCCCGCTTATTACACGTCTACTTGCCACATATGTAAATAATTAGACGCGAAATATTGATTTGAGTTGAAATATTTTAACGCAAAGCTTCCTTGAAGACAGCAGTTGCGAGCAAGCGGCAAATTCAAACTAGACGGACATTTAAGGGAAACGGTGCAGTCAAATCATTATTACACAACATTTCACCACAAAAATAACTAAGGCAATAAAAGAATTAAGACGAAAATGTTTTAAAACCTTACACTTCCACTCCATCATCCACAACGGATTACACTGCCATCTCAATAAGGTCAGGACGGGCCGCGCTGGTGGATGAGGCTCTTTTAGACCTGCTTTGGATGCTTTGGATGAGGCTTTCTGATTATTATAGAAGACTGCAAATAAGAGTTTGACTCTACCTTATCAGTTCATGTTTAGATGATTTGTGGGAAAATGATAATTATAACTCCAGTGTTATCTGCTTGCTGGTTCAGCAGTTACACTGTAATTAAAAATGATGTAAGCCACTTATCTTTGGTTATGATTTGATATTTCAGACCTCACTGTTTGGGGGTGTTATTAGCTTTTACCGGTTGTTATTGAGGGATAACATGTCGCGACTGACCAATCAGAATCAGGTATTCCACAGAGCCGTGTAATAACTACTGATAACATGCCTGTGTTTGTAATGGAATACTAGTGTATTTTGTAGTATATAGAGGTGTGTGGGGTAAGATGTGCCACTTTTTATTTAAGTTGTCCTGTAGGCAATAAAAAAATAATTAAAATTAAGGAGGTAAGTCTTTTATTATTATTCACATTTTCATAAACCAGCCAGAAATTTTTTTTAATATGCATTGTATTAAAATTCTGGCTGATAATGACAAGCCAGTCTTTTTTTTTTTTTTTTTTTTTTGGCCGTTACATTTTTTTTTTCCTAGATAAATAAAAAAAATAATGAATGAATGAATTAACTAATTAATTAATAAAAAAAAATTTTTAATCATTATTTAATAAATAAAAAGGCACATCTGTCAGATTTTCTCTTTCTAATTATATTGTTCTGTGACCAATTTTGCATAGTTTGCTAGAATAAGGGGATGGCACATCTTACCCCACTCTCCCCTACAGTTTTTTTTTCATATGTGGAACAGTATGTATGCAACAATCTTTCAAACAGTACTATGCTACATTCTTTTCAACAAAATAAAAACAAACAAACACTGATTTGATCTTTATTCCAATTTTGTGTCCAATAAGATCCCATCGCAGCAGATATCTAAAATTCATCTCTCGTTGTGTGTTTCAGACTCCGAGAGCATTGACCATAAGCGTCTGAGGGCCAGGAACAGTGAAGGAGGTGAGGTGCCCGAGAAATACTTTGTGGTGACCAACAACGAGCTTCTGAGAGTGAAGTACCTGCTGGTGTATTCTCAGAGACGCTACCGATCACGGTGAGTTACGCCAACATACTTATACATACATAACTTATGTTGCATTTCAGCTGATGTCTTAGCTTTTTCTTTTGTAGTACTTTGATCATTCAAAATACTAAAAGTTATTAGAAATAATAGTTAACTCAAAATAAATGTTTCTGTCATCATTCTATTTTCTGTGGAACACAAATGGAGACATTTTTCCATAATGTCCCAGTCACACTTTTCCATACAGCACCAATAAATAAGAGACTAAAAGCTTTATTATGCTTCATAGCTTTATGTGATTAACAGACCAAAATTAAGTTATTCACAACCAATCTTCTGATCCAATGGACTTTTGTGAACAATTCATATAGACTGTTAATGTGATCTGTATCAAATGATTCACTGAAAAGATCTGACTGAAAATAATGAATCGTGGGCGGATATCAAGATTTTCAGTGAATAACAAATTAAACTTTCATCTGTTTCTCACACAAAGCCATCATATGACTTCAATAGACTTATATAGCAATAGCATATTAGTGGAAAGGTTTACTTTTAGGATACTTTTATGTTGCTTTGTTTTCATTTTGAATCTTGATAGACCTAGTTTTCATTAAAGGAATAGTTCACCCAAAAATGAAAATTTGCTTAACATTTACTCACACTCAGGCTATCTGAGATGTAGATGAGTTTGTTGTTCATTGAAACAGATTTGGAGAAATTTATCATTACATGACTTGCTCAGCAATGGATCCTCTGCAGTGAATGGGTACCGTCAGAATCAGAGTCCAAACAGCTGATAAAAACATCACAGTAATCCACAAGAAATCCACACCACTCCAGTCCATCAGTTAACATCTTGAGAAGCGAAAAGCTGCATGTTTATAAAAAACATCAGTTATTAAAGGAGACATATTATGCCCCTTTTTACAATATGTAATATAAGTCTCTGGTGTCCCCAGAATGTGTCTGTGAAGTTTCAGCTCAAAATACTCCTCAGATCATTTATTATATCATTTTGAAAATGCCTATTTTGAGTGGAAGCAGAAACACGCTGTTTTTCGGGCCCTAGAATATGAGTTCTCTATCCATAATATTACTTCCTCCAGAGAAAAAGTCATCCCGTCTGAACCAGGAGAGAAATATGCAATATCAAGCATTGTTTACTGACTTTTTCATTGGAGGAGGCCTTATTATGGATTATATTTTAGCCAGAAGAAACAGTTTAAAGTAAAAAATGTCTTCATGGATTGGAAAAGCACAGCTTTTTACTTCACAAGACATTAACTGATGGACTGGAGTGGAGCGGATTACTTGTGGATTATTGTGATGTTTTTATCAGCTGTTTGGACTCTCATTCTGACGGCACCCATTCACTGCAGAGGATCCACTGGTGAACAAGTGATGAAATGCTACATTTCTCCAAATCTCTTCTGATGAAGAAACAAACTCACCTACATCTTCGATGAACTATTTCTTTAAATGAACAGAATTTTCATGTTTTTCTGTTTGTTTAAATAACTTGCTGTGTGTGTGTGTGTGTGTATGGGTAAGTGACGTTCTGTTCTGATTCCAGACACGCTCAAGGGACGTCGTGGCTTGTCAGACATCATTTTGCCGTCATGATGGGCCTGTATCTCCTGCTCCTCATATTCATCGGTGCCTTCAGCTCGTCCGCTTTTCAGTCGTTCTGGCACAGAATGTTCCGGTGACCCAGATCGCACACATCACATAAACGCTCACGTCCAAAGTGCCTTTAACTCACAAAGACTATCATGCAAGAGGGAAAAAATAGACTCAGGAACGATTTTCTTCAACTCAACACGACATTCCTTGGTTTTTACACGCTATTTTATTTAGATTTGCATAAACACACTGCAGTATGAGCACTAATGTTAGCAGATTCAGCCGAGCAGCAAGAATGTTACATGTTAGCATGTAGCCTGTTTTTACTTTTTCAATTATTGGTTCACTACATTCGTTACAACCAAATGATCAAGACAAAGCGCTGTTTTTACCTGCCTTTTCAACTTAGACATTGGCAAAATTGCTGCTTATATTAAAAATAATCATGTAGGGAGATCTGTGTGCTTTTATATTAGATATTTTTCAGTTTTGGGGCAAGTTCACACGTTCTTAGACTACTGTACTGTGTCTAGATTACGTCAACTATGCAGAAGACCCATGCTATGGTGGTCAGTATCTTTAAAACTGTAATGAAAATTAGTCTTGATATTGCATAAATGTCTCTAACTTGAATAATCCAGAGGATCCGAATTGTGAAATAATTTAAATAAATAAATGCAACAATGTTACAGTGTGTTTCTTAAGGGCAGAGTGAAAAATTGGCTGTTGTTCTAGTTTATGGCTCTTGGCGCACTGAACGTTTCGTCTGGCCATTGTTTTTATCAGTCCACAACAAAAGCAGTGATACATTACTGATAACAAAAGCGGCGTGTTCTTCATCTTGAGAAGTGGAAACTGATTTGTGTGAACCGTAGACTTTTTTTTATATATATTTTTTTTAATTTTAAATTTAATTTACTTTAAGTCACCTTTATTTATATAGCGCTTTTAACAATGCAGCAGATTGTGTCAAAGCAGCTTTACAGTATTAAATAGGAAAATAGTGTGTCAATAATGCAAAAGTGGTGGCCATATAATAACTTACTTTTCATGCATAAAATAAGTTAAATGCATTTATGCATATATTAAAATCACTGTTGGCATAACTAAGAAAAAGATGAGTTATACAATATTAAAAAAATTAATAAAATGCTTATTTGTTGCATGTTTGGAGGCATATTATAAACAGTATTTTATGCCAACACGTTTATCAGAATAAACTCTTTCCTGTATGCAGTTTCATATGAGACAGACATCAAAAGAATTGTGGACAGGTTGATCTATTATGGATCAGGGCTTTGTTCTGGCTCATGGATGGACGTCTAATTGCAGGCTGATAAACACATTGTTATTCAGTAACAGGCCTGACAGGAGTGGGAACGTGTTTACGCTGAAGGGGTCAGCCTGACTTTATTAGTCCATTATATAAATAAAGTGTTTTTTATTCATTTAACATTTGCACAAACAAATATTAGAATTTATCATTAAAAAAAACTGACAAATATATTATTAGTAGCCATGGAAATGCAGTTTTAACATGGTTTTAAGCATGTTTTACTGACAGAAACATTGTGTTTTAGATGGTATAACAAAAGCTGTACAACAATAATGAGAGTAATTTCACAGCATTCATTTTTTTAAATAGTGCATGAAATAGCTGCCTTTTATGCTACATTTTAGAACTGGATTACATTATTTGGATTCTTCTTAAAATGTAGAATCAGTTTGCTGCAGTTGGACAGACAGGAGCCAAACACACAAAGAATCCCTCAGAGTTATTCTGTTGAAGGAATATTGAAATAATTATATATATATATATATATATATACAGTGCCTTGCGAAAGTATTCATTTTTTTTCACTTTTTGTTATGTTGCTGCCTTATGTTAAACTGCTTAAATGTACTTTTTTTCCCACATCAATCTACATTCCATACACCATATTGACAAAGCAAAAACAGAATTGTCACAACTTCGTAAATTAATTAAAAATAAAAAAACTGAAATAAGTACATTGCATAAGTATTCATACCCTTAACTAAATATTTAGCTGAAGCACCTTTACAGCCTCAAGTCTTTTTTGTTTGATGCGACAAGCTTTGTTCATCAGCATTTGGCAATTATCTGTCATTCTTCACCTCGCCTCTCCACCTCTCAAGCTTTGTCAGGTTGGATGGGGGCAGATGCAGATGAGCTTTTCTTCTACTCTGACGAGTCCCTTAGTCCCTGCCGCTGAAAAACAGCCCCACAGCATGAGGCTGCTACCAGCACACTTTACTTTTGGGATGGTACTCTGCAGGTGATGAGCAGAGTTGGTTTCCTTCAAACATGATGCTTGGAATTGAGGTTCATCAGACCAGAGACTCTTGTTTCTCACAGTCTGAGGGTCCTTTAAGTGCTTTTTTGCAAATTCTAAGTGTGTTTTCATGTGTCTACACTGAAGAGAGGATTGAGTCTTGCCACACCGCCATAAAGCCCAAATCGATGGAGTGTTACAGTGTGGCAGTGGTGTTTTTCCTTCTGTAGGTTTTTCCCATCTCCACATATGATCATGGAGCTCAACTAGAGTGACCATCAGGTTCTTGGTCACCACACCAACCAAAGCCCTTCTCCATCAGTTGCTCAGTTTGGCCAGGAGGCCAGCTCTAGGAAGAGTCCTGGTTGTTTCAAACGTCTTCTATTAAGGGTAACAGAGACTACATGCTTCTGTGAACCTTCAATGAAGCAGAATTTTTTTCCTGAACTCCTCCTCCGATGTGTGGCTTGACGCAAATCTGTCTCTGAGCTCTACAGGCAGTTCTTTTGACCTCAGGACTTGGTTTTTGCTCTGATATGCATTATCAGCTGTTAGACCTTT